TGCTGATGTGCAACACTTCTAATGAACCGCTATTCCACGCACGATTAGTCTAGTAACACCGAATGCTTATTCTATACACAATCCCTATGTTGGTGATTGTTGGCAGTCTGTTCAATTTAGTTGTGCCTCTGAAGTGCTTCACGGTCAGAGGTTGCATATTCGTTACAGGTTAAGTGCCTACGATTTTCCTTTGGCGTAGACGTTGATAAAAGTTGATTAACGCCTTTCAATAGAAGGCCAGACTGAATAGAGAGAGAATTAACGCTAAAATTGTCTTTCTACATAAGTACGTTTCTGATTATGAAGCAAACACAACGGCGGTTGTCTTGATTGTAATTCGCTCACCAAGGGACGTGAACACTTGTCCGCGGAAAGAAAGCCAATCAAATGCGAAACCAGGCTGATGGACATCCTCCAAAATCCTCAGCAAATATTTATAAGCATGGCTCGCCATGTGAGCAACAACGAAGCGATGTCAAGAGCGGATTCGTGCAAAATCCTCGAAAGACTTGCTCATTTATAAAAAGCTAAGATCAGCCAGAGAAGAGTAATCCAGCGCTCAACATAATTATTTGTAAATTCCACACTACATCTTGATTTTCGAGAGGCAACGTAAATTGCTACGTAGATTGCTTCCTACGGCTAATCTGCTACCTTTACTAATACTCATGTTATTGGCTATGAATACAACTCCGATCTTGTCATGCAATTCACTTTACTAACAGACAACAATTTACCAAGTCTGACAAAAAGTTGCCTGAAATTTTAGTAAGAAGAGAGGGAAAACTCTGTTAAACCCGAACGTTTCATTTAACATTATAAACTTCATGTTCACAATACCCTCAGCTGTACAGTGTGACTCCTCCCGACAGCAACTTGAACTATCCTGGTCTCCTGCCGGAGAACGATTTCGACAACCTCTTGTTTTCAGAGCGACTTCTTCTGAGTTCGACTTTCGTTGAGGTGGTAGCCTGGAATACATCTGAGCAGTGTGAAGGATGGTCAAATAACTTCGAAGCCTTCTCAAAATTTTTGCACGGTATCCCTCACGGTAAGCTTTAAATTGCGCCCTGTGGAAAATAAGAATAGAATACTTAAAAAGTGCTTACTAAAGCGAGTCGCGCAGCGCTATTTGCGAGAACATTGCCTCCTGCCAGCCCTGGGGAAAAACATCATCTATGCAGTCTCTCACAATGCTCAAAAAGCGACTCGTCCTCTATCGAGTGACTTGCTTCCTACACTGCTCGTCGGTACGTATGTCGCACTTACATTTTTCCTGTAATCTAAGTTCCTAGCAACATTTGTCACATGTTACACAGTGCACTGTGAAACATATGACAAGTCTTGACTGTGTCAAAACTGTGTTGTGTTCAAACATTCTATTATATTTGGCACACATTCAGAAAAATTTCGAATAACATCTTCTGTAATTGAATCCCATCACTAAGAATTTCTCTTCTCAAGGGAAGCTGCACACTGGACTCGTGCGGCGAAGTTCTCGTGCACAAAACTACCAAGAGGCTGTCCATAGAGTTCAGGTCAAAGGAGCATGAGAACTAGTCTATAATATCCGCGGTGATCTCCTAGACATTTACAAGTCGACTGCGAGACGCTATCTTGTTGGAAAAAGAGTTGTTTCGTTGTGACGGTGGAAGAGGAAGCAGGCTGCGCTGAAGAACATCTTGATACTCTTAAGATCCTTCTGCGTGGAAATCAATTTCATTCAGTTCCATAGAAATGGAACGCCGCTCATGGCATAACACTTCCTCCGCAATTGCATGCTTCAAAAAAAGAAGCATGGGCATCTTTCGTAGATTCCTCCAATAATACGCGTTCCCATAGGACCGTGCAGATTGCATTCCGTTCCATCAAAGGCAGTCATCTGAACAATGTAAGAGCTCAATAATGCACTTCGCAAGTGTAGTCAAAAACCGTACCTTTCTTATGTTTCCTTCAAAAAATATTCTAGCAAAATTGAGCAAAGGACTTCGGGATAGATCCTGGTCAGACGAGGCGCTTTCTTCATCTTATGCCTCCCTAGAATGTATAACGACGAATAGCTCGCAAAACAGTGGAACTCGATCCATTTAATAAAGGCGTTTGGGGATCTTACTAGGAGTCAGTATGAATTAAAAGCTGATGAAGCGGTACATCTTTTGCCGGACAGTGTCAGATTGCGACGACGTTCTTCCCCGTGTTCTCGACTGTGAACCGCAGGATTCTTAAGCCGTCGATACGGCCCCTATTCGGTCGAATTGTTGACCCGGTTGCTGTCTTGCTCGCGGAAGGAATAAAATTGACTTTGTTCTGTTATAGGTAGACGATGACCCTCAGACATGGTGCACTACTATGAATCTTGTGATCTTGCCACATACCCAGAAGGCGGTAGACCTGCGCAGATTTGAGAAAAGTTGCAAAAATGACGGATGGCATAAGCAATTGACGCAGTAGATTTCCATTTTCTCTCCAGAAAAATGACCCTACTGCAACGATTAGATACGTTTAGACATTGCTGAGAACTCTTTTTCGCCCACTAATCACTGTTCCAGTAATGTTCCCTAACAACTTAGATAAAGGGAAAATATGGGAGTGGTAGAAGCAATTGACGGATAGAGTAGACCATCCAACCAAATAGACCTAGGATTGGTAAAATCCATAGAGGGGAATCGCTATTGGATGTGCTATGAGTTTTGCAGATTCTCAGAAATTCTCAATCATCGTCAGTCTTCATCTCAGCAAGGCGTTCCTAATGAGCTTGCCAATCCTAGTTTCATTTCACAAGAATGCTGGGTTGTGAACAAAACTTTCGCCCCAGGCGGGACTAGAACCCGCACCTCTCGCTTTCCGGGCAAGTGCGCTACCAGTTACGCTACCGGGGCACCATTTCATTCTATTTATAGTGTATGTTCTTAAAATTCGTCAATTCGCTGGCATATCCTTCGCAACAGGCATCATTTTCGATTTCGTAATACTCGTATATCGCAAACCAGATGAGTATGCTGGGCTGTTCCATATTTCTGACGAATTTCAACACTTTGATTCATTCAAGTTTTAATCTTTCCTGAGAACAATTGATCAAAAATATAACCACCATCATAATCACTGATATGCACCCATTTGCTAGGAACGAATGGATGCATTCCTCCCAGAACGAGAGAAGCTGTGAGATGAAAAGCTCGGAGAGGTCGTTTTGGGGTGGTTGTATTTACTGATTTTTCCTCTCCTAGCTGCTGCTTCAGGGGGCTGGGGAGGTGATAGTACGATGGAGCAACGTAAGGGCTATACGACAGATGTGGTGTCGTGGTCTCAAAACGTGGCGAGTTATCTTTGCAATGTGATTTCGGGCGGTCCTCGAGAAAGGAGATTTTGAGACTTTTCGAACCGTTCTCCCGCACTGCTGCGGCCAACTTGGAAGCTATTCCATGGTTACCTTCGCAATGCTTGTCTGCATAAAGTGAATGGTTCTCAAAACGGGATACCCAGCGAATCCAACAAAACGGGGGTCACATCCTCTGATGAAAGAGCTCGGGCTTTGGTTGAGATGCTGCGTCCAGGCTGCGAGGTAGCCACCGGCGTGCCACGTGTTGTTATCACGGTAGACGTCCGACTCATCTGCACTGGTGACCAACTAAAGAAATCCTGTCTATGCGGGCCTGGAATGAAACTTTCGCCAGACATGCATCCCAGCTATGGTCAGTCGATGCATGAGGCTTCCTTCGAAACACTACAGTGCACTCCATTTAGGTGTCGATTCATGGAGCGTAGGCGCCAATGTTTGCTACAGTTTTCTGCTAATAGCGTCGGATGCACTTCCTATTCGTAGCGCAAGGGGTCCTCATCGAAAGTGACTGGGGGTCCGTGATGAGGTCGAACTTTGCAGCTCCTATCGCCTTTGCCGATGCTATTGAGCCAATAGCTCAGTGCCCGATCAGTAGCAAAGACTGGGCAAACGTAGCGCTGATCTTGCCTACCGCGCTCCTTGCAAGGTTCTTCTTAAAATTGTCGTAAGGCATAATCGTTGGGTTTGGTCGTTGATCTATTCCTACTTAATTATCCCGTTGCGCATTTGAGCTTCTGAACATCCTGGCTGAAGGTCCTGATGTGTTCTTCAACATATCAACTTATTTCATCATGAAGCTAATTTGACATGAAGAAAATTGAATTTGAAGCAAATCGGCCAGAAATTATGGGACAACCCAATAATACACTCCCTTTAACGATAAGCAAGTGAAGTTGGTAGGAAGTTATTCTACGACTAGAATACACCTTTATAAATTATATAGAAAGGAAATTTATGAAAATAGAGGTAGAAGCAGCACAGGTGTAAACCGTGAAACATTGCGAATGCATTTAGATTTCGCATACCAAGCAGATCTTGGACTGTTGCCTTTCCCTGCAATAAGGTCTTACGATTATGATTGCTACCGCGCATTCTAAAGGTTACCATCCGATAAGTGGTCACCCATGATTCAGAGATCTTCAATTGTTGAAGCTGACGGCTGTAGTTCCAACTCATCCACCAAAGTCCCGTACCATTATGCCGCTGTCAAAATTTCCTCCGTTGTTAGGCTTCATGCAGAAAATCAGTGCTTTTCGCCTGAGCACATACGACGAAACTCTGAGCGGCGATGTTAGAAAGGTGGTGGTGCATATCGCCATCTATGGTTAGAGTGAGCGAAGAAAATAAACCCCTCGGCACATAAAGTTGCTCACGTAGAATACTTGGGTATGTTTATGTCCAGCAAACAATCTGGAATGAAGGGAACTTAAACTTATGCTGTCGAAATCGTTTGCTTAGAGCACCACTCTCTTCCGAGAGGATATAATTGAAAAATACAAAATTGACTTGTGCATCAGGGTACTGCCATTTGCGGTAACACTCATTTTGAAAGAGGAAACTTCGAGTCACAACAAATAAAGGAATTCAGTTTTGAATTTTTACCCATGATCGATCTTATTAATTTAATTATCAGCAGTTTACTACATCAATAATTTATCAGTTAACATTCTACAGAAGACGTTTCCGACGTCCTTGAAAAATCTTCAATAGCACCACAAATTGCACGAGCAGTGTTAACGAGCCGATGGATGAAACTGAGATGAAGCTGGTTCGTGTGACGCAATAGGATTCTGAAAATTGAACATTTTGACCAGTTTTGTAATCTAACAGAAGAAACGTGTATGATAAGCCTTTTCGTTGTATTACGGTCGACCTCACGGGAAGGAGACCCTGATCTCCCATTCATTTGACGAACATTTATAATGTCTTCATGGACAGAAAATAAATCGATGAAGCTTGCAATGAGCACTCCACGTTCGGGTTCGAGTAGGTGCGTCTACGGACTTGCTGATAAGCAGATCACAGGATAATTGTCGCAGAGCTGTTTTCAATTACTTTTTGCCGCTTTTCAATGCTATTTGACCTTAGCAGACTTCATTTGTAAACAAGAGAGCCCAACGAAGTAGAAATTATGCTGCTTGCACTTAAAAAATTATTCGTTTTGCTAGTCACATCCGTAGATTAGTCTTCACAAATCTGCCGACAATCCACGCAAACGCCGCGATGTGGATGTACAGGGTGGCTGGAAGGTATAGGACGCCGTGTTTCTAAGTGTAAGAGTCAAGAAGACGACCTTATTAGCAAAACAACTTTACAGAAATATAGAGTTGAGTCATATGCGTACTATGACAAAAAGTGCTCTTAGTTTGACAGTTCTGCTTTGAGAGAGAGACCTTTTAAAGTCCAATGACAGAATCAGCAGTGGTAGCCAACGGCAATGCAATAATGCTCCAAGCCTTCTGAAGCGCTCCTTTTGAGATCTTGCTCTCTAACACTCCCACATAGAGAATTTATAGAGGGTAAACAATGGGGTAAAGGCCTGCAGGGAGAAAGGTCGCAAATCCTTGCTTCAGAGGCCGAGGAAGTGCGCATACAGAATCTGATCGAGTTGAAAGCGTAGTGGGGAGCTCAGCTTCAGTGGAAAGCGAATGGTTGCTTAGCAGGATGCTAGTAAGTGCAGAACAACATACCTCAAAATGGTCTTTTGCAATAACTATTATACAACTTAATTTTAACATTACCGAAGAAGAACACCAATGGAGTTTCACTTTCATGTGTTACTCTGTCACAAACTACCACACCTTCGTGAGAAAGTCTGCTAATAACAAAATATTATCTCACTGACTTGCGCATATTTCTTCGCAACTATGCCTCCGGCTGCGAAAAAGATTGCTTCAAAATTTCTCATTAGCTCAAATCGCATGAGTGATGCGGGGAGCCTCAAGCTCGTGCAAAATTTTTGCATTTTATCAGTCATTATGATTAGCGCTTCAATAAAAGCAAGTTGGAGTAGAGACGGTGACTCGCTACAATAGAGTAAGTTCCAAGATGTATTGGTATTATTAGCGGCAGATCCTGAGATTAAAAGTGATGTGGCTCACGCTGGCTTCATCGTTGTGAGTGGCCTTCTTCTAGGTTGCCCTAATCCTCTGAGTGTGCACAGTTCTCGACCTTCCACTTGTTGCGATCCCAGAGATGTGTTGTTGAACCTTGAGAGCAGCGAAGATGTTTCGAAGAGTTGAAGAGGAATATCGAGTCGCTTTGAGAAGTTGCAACTTCGGAGACCGTCCTTGGGCAGTCTCTCGATCATGGTCGATGCGAAGAATACTTCATAGCGAGAATCCAGTCAAACTTTGAACCAAATAACTTATGCTGCTTCTTACATTGCTCCAAAGATCCCAGAGAATTTTGAAAGACTCCGAATACCCCACGGCTCGACACAAGCAAGTGGGCAATTCGCGTCCTATACAGCCACTCTGTATATTGGAGATGATGGAGCACTTAATAGCGTGTACTATTCGACAGCTAGCCCAGTGAAGGAAATTCGAGTAGGAGCAACATCAAGCGAACATTAGCAGAAATCTCTTCTAGGTTTACTGCTAAGCCAAACCGCCCGTTACATCACATTACATCGACTGCAGCAATCTACAAACCCTTCCCAGTCATTGGTGGCCACGCTCGATCTATGCCCACTCTCTGCCTCTTCGAGAGTAGCCACCTGCTGGTCCTTATTGTCGCCTGCAGCTATTTGACTTTTGGAAAGGGTTGGTTGCCAATGACAGGCTTCTTGGATTGAAATAGTACCTTCAACTACTACTGGTACACATGTGTAACGCCAGTAGTAAAAAGTACTATCTCAATCAAGAAATGTTTCCAAGGAGGTGTTGGCCTTTTAAAAGCCTAGCCGTGCATATGTAGAAAGATAATGACTCTATTCTCTGATGTTACCTTTGCAAAGATAATCACAGACTAACTCGAGCTACCGTCGTGATGCAACTGAAGGGAGTCATACTAGCCCAAATCACTTTTTGTATGTGAAATTTCGAGAACAATTTTCTAAGAGTCGCCCAATGTTGATGTTTTGGTGTCTTGTAGTTTTGATGTCCTTGACTTATTACATCGTCTACAGGATAAGCGGTCGAAAGTTGATTAAAAAGGAATTTCCGATGAACGTCACTTAATGTGAATCAGAAAAAGATCGTACGCTCGGCCAAATCACTTTTTCGAGACTCTGATGGTGTGGAAGAAAATACAGACATGAAGGGTTCTCACAGTTCGTAACAAAGTTAGGACATGGGCAAGCGAGGGGTAGGCGTCTTTGCAGAAAACGTCATCATGATTCTTGTGTTGTAATTCGGTTTTCCAGTACAAAGATATTGTCTAAAGGTTTGAGACAATAGGTGATTAAACAAGTCGCTTGTTGGAAATAAAGGTACATCTTTCAGACAGCAGCGAAGGAGCGGTTGAAAGAATCGTCTTGAAGGCACGGTCCGCGATTAAACATTCAGATGTTTTAGCCCGATCGTGGTAGACAGGTAGACAAGCGTTGATATCCATCTCGCGGCTCAAAAGTGCACGACAAATGTGCTCAGTTTGGTCTAGCTGTGACCCACATCTTCGTCCGCGAGCCGTCCATTCCGCTTCCGGGTGCCACGTCGCTCCGCAGGAATAACACGGCCGCAGCTGCAACATTGTGGCAGTCAACGTAGCAGGCCCCTTATCCATCTCAAGATGGGATAGATGGAAGAGGTAGTCCTTGTTTTTACTTCCTTTTTTCAGTGCTCCATCTTCATTGACGAACCTTCGTCACGCCTCTCTTATCTAAGGCCGATGTCAGACTTTGCGAATCGCGCGATTCGCAAAGTCTGACATCGGCCTAAGGGTTTCCCTTTGACCTGTGATTCTCCGCTGGCCAGCGCTTCCGAGATTCTGTAAAGACAATCAAATCTGAATGCACTGCTTCTCTGCAAAAAAAAGCTAGAACGTGGAGACAGTTGCAAAGACTCCAAGCAATACATATGATTATCTCTTTAGACGGGCACGCACCCATCGCAACGAATTGCATCCGGTCCAGTCCAGTAGGACTCTATATCCCACTTACAGAACTATATTTTCTGTTGTTCAACATCCAGTTTATCGTGTCATCCCTTTAAGTCACTATCCACAATAAATATTTCCTTCTCTCGTGATGCCCACCTACATCAGTTTGTGCCATCCGCCTACGTCCAGAGGCCCAACTGTAAACGTGAATGGCGTCAATAGCAGCTATATGTACGCCATTCACGTCTACAAATCTGCGTATGTTATGTTTTACATATTTCATTATGAAAATGTTCTCAAATGAAAATGGTAACTGACTTGCAGGCATGGCTTCATTTCTTACGAGTAATGAAATCTGAACTTCATCACCATGATTGGAATTGAATCCCAACTTGTCTGTTGAAAGATAGCGGCGTCTTCTTGCGTGCTTCGAGCAATCCTTCTACAATAACGATAATTTTTCGACTTTTCCCGGCACAGACACTGTGACTGCGGCAACATTCTTACCGGTTCACATAGATCATCGCAGATTTCCAGACGGACAGGATATTTTCACAGAGTCACTCTCTCTGAAGCGAAACGCCCGCAAAGGTATCGAAAATCCTTTTGATTCTCTTCGAACGGCGCCTCTCACAATATATTCGCTGGCCGATCGCGTTGCACAACTTAAAAAGTGAAATTTTTCATTAAAGTTGCAGTTCAGTTTGGAATGCAGTATACTATAAGATGATGGGTTTGGATCAGACAGGAATAATAGAGATTCTGCGGATTATGTACCTTCATCGGATAACCAACTACTTCATTCATTTTTCATTTTTTCACGCAAGACCCATGTGCAGTAAATTAGGAATTAATAAAACAACCCTTCGAAACGAAACAGGCTCGGCAAATAAAGCAGGTCTAATGAAAATAACAACTTTCGGAACAAAATAGTGCCCCATTTATTAGGACGGTGAGGCGAAAATGTACATAGTTCGGGGGCCACCCTATCTAATAGAAGTGGAGTAGCGGAAGACACTCATATCTTATCATATCTTTCACTGATTAAGCGGCAAACGACCAGTTCGTCACACTTGTTACCCTTGTCCTATGGCGAAAACGGCTGTCACCTTGCTGGCTCTTCACTTTCACCAACCCTCCTTGCGATTGCCATGCAAGCCCTTGGCGAAAGGGAGTTTCAGGTATCCGATTTTGTATGAAATCCCAGGCAGGGTGAATATCGGTCGAGGAAATCCTCGACAGGGGGGTCGTACCTGTCGGGCTGGGTCATGGGGGGTCGTACTCTTGGGGGTCAGTAACAGCAGTGGTATCGTGGTGCAGATAGGTAAGAGGGTATAGCGCAGCAGAAAATGAAACATCTGAAAAAAAAATTCTTTGCAGGTTCAGTCGCTCCATTCCTCCACCTTCATGAGAAGGGCGTATTTGAAGGCAGTACAAAGAATGAAAGTGCATCCCCGCAAAGAAGACTGCCACATGTGCGCACGCGCTGCAAAGGCACCTCCTCCGCCTATCGCTCGCTCCTTCTCCCTTAATACCTCGCTGAGAATGACACTGTTGTTAGGGACGCTGTCGCAAAAACGACAGCCGCAACGGCACATTTGACCTTAGGTTACAATTGTAAAGCAATCCACTACCCGCTACTATAAATGGTGCTATGTGCTTGGCTAGTAGCCAAGGATATATTGAAGCCAAGAGCTTTGTCCTTCCATACTTCACGTGTGAATATTGTAAAGATAAGTGTGGCAGAACTTCTCACCCGTCCTCGATGATAGTGAGACTTTCACGGTCGTTGCGATCTCGTGCTATGCAGGTGGTAACCGTATAATTACTACCGAAATTGTCATCGTCATCGATTCTCAAATCAACATTTTGACCGAGAATCACGGTCCTAACCTGAAAGCAACAGAAAAACTTGTATACACTGATTACCTTGGGAACATCTTGTATCATGAGAATTGTTTTCGAGATGAAAACTTACTTCGGAGCCTACCCTTCTAAAAAGATTCGGTCCTGATTGCGATCTAATTAGTGAGAGGGCGCAGACGAGCAGGAAATAGGCGCCGAATAGCGCCAACAACAAAAACGAATGTCATATTCGTAATCAGGACCCCAAATAACCCTCTATACACAATTTTTGCAGCAAATTTGGTGAGAATCATTCGTGGCGCTAAATGGCGCCAATTTGGGGCCAAAAATTCTTTTGACCCATCTCGCCCCTTACTGGGGTTGAAGTAGTGCAATAGTTCTTACGACCAATTTTGATGAATCGTAATTCAATTCAAGGAGGAGCAACAGGCGGAAGACTGATGGACAGAATCGGCGCTTGAGGCAAGACCTAAAGGCACACCATCCAGTTTTCAAAAAAAAAGAGTCGAACCTCGGATTTCCTTTTTGATCGCAGCTCCATCTTCATCGGATTGTATGGAATCTTCCCATGTGGATGAATCGACACTTCGCCCATATTTCTATAATGCCCTCAAGTAAATGAATTCCATCACAAAACATAATATTTCAAAGAACCCACTTCACTTGTAAAACACTGGTAGCAGACATTTTCGTGGTTTGATTACTATAATCACATGAGATACGATAGAGTTTATCGTATTCTGTAATGACGGGCATTTCACTCAGATTGTTCTGCTTGACGACAATCACATTTTCGAACACAAAACCGTTCTGCAAATCTCTGACTAGTGTTCAGCAGAATCAAAGTCAACAGGCTTAATAAGAGCTTATACCCGTGAAATAGAGCAACTTTGCGAACTGAATAGCATCTTCAATTGGGCCTCTGTTCCGTTGATGGCGATGGAGCAGTTCTCGTGAGCGTTTCGTGGGAAAACTTCGCCACTGATGTGCACAGGTGAAAACACCTTAATTTTCTCAATTATTTTCAATGGTTCTTGTTTACTGTCTAAATGAAGGTCAAGGAAGCAAGGACCAGAATAATTGAAAGGGTCATGTAGTAATGTCAGCGGCTGAGATGGTCCCAGATTCTACCACAATGCGGCAGAAACAGAACCAGACTAGAGCTTGCTCTACCAGGCAAGTACAGGGCTTTATGCGATTTATCCTAGACCAGTCTACTAGGGTTGGGAGTTATGGATGGGGTGGGAACCTTCCATGACTACACCTCTTGAGGGCTCTATAGGTAATGTGCGACTTCTGCCCCGTAGGGATTCGGTAATGGGATCTTCTGTAAGGTGTATTTTTGGTTACGGTCAAAGTTCTTTTCCAAGAACAAGGAGGAGGCAGCTCTCTGTAACATTACGCGTTACTTTTCGAATATATTAAGTGGCAGCTTGTTGATACAACACAGAACATAGAGAGAAGGTGCACAAACCTTGATAATGATTCCGTCATAGTTGCATACTGTCTGAACATCCAGCTCAATAGCGCCTTGTGTGAAGGGCTCGCTCCTGATCTTTATCTAAAATCAAAGTGATAGTTCTACAGACTATCCCTTTTTTTACTATTGTTGTACTCATTTAGAAACTTCAAAAAGTCCCCTAAAGCCTCATTTTGCAAACGACGTTGCGGTTCCTACTTAAGCCGTTACAGAGCCATAGCCCAATGTGCACATCCACTGTCGCGGATGCTCGATATCTCACATGGCTTAGCGGGTATGATCCCTCGTTTCAGAGTCCTTTTCTCCCTCATTAACTCTCATCTTGCTGCTTGCCTCATAGAGTCCTCCACAGCATATAACAAAGAAGCTGTCGCGGTACGCGACGGTCATCCAGGCGCGCGCTGCACTGCCTGGGCTCTGTCTCGCTCCATGGCCATTTACGTTGGGCGCGCGCGGCCCTAGAAGCGTGCGCCACGTAGTGGCCCCGCCCCCAGCCGAGGCCAGTCGTCATGCGGTCGCCTCTGCCGGTTGAGGCGTACTTCCTCTCCGTGAGGGGGGAGCCTCAGGCTACGGCCGCCAGGAGGCCAAGAGCAACACATGGGCGCATTGCTGCCGTGCGGTCGGGCGCACGGTAGTCTCCCTTGGCGGAGCATCGGTAAGTTCACACCATGCGTCCCTATCGAGGTTCGCCTCGCTTAGGCCCGATGGTGTGATCGGCTGTAGGGCCCTCAATAACATCTGAGGGAGGAGGCAGAGTGCAGTGTAGGATTACCGCGAAGGACCCTTCCGAGGACATGGTCAGATCCGACGCCGGCAGACGTAAGAGTAGGACGATGGATTGTTCAGGAAAGGACCTATAATAAATGTATTTATGTGTTGCATTATCATGTGTGGAACTAGTGGTCAGGGAGCGTCAGGGCAAGGGGCCCGACTTGTGCGCTATACCGTCCAATGTATCGGTTGTTGTGCATGCTTATGTTGCGCTGCGTAGATGCCTCGGGAGCGGCGCCGTGTCTTGCGGGAAAACACCACGGTTCCCGGGAGGACCCGCCAGGACAGGCGCTCTCTAGGCACTCTCTACTTGAGAGAAGGGGATCCGGAACCCCGATCTGTCTCACCGGAAAAGAGGCCCGGAGGCGGTCTCAAAGCTCTCTACCATGTGAGAGTAGTGCCGAGAGTGAACTCCGCGCGGAGAGCACAGACGGCA